TTAATAATTAGTAATTGGAGCCTGGTGGTGTAGTGGTTAAGAGCTACAGTTGCTAACCAAAAGGTTGGCAGTTTGAATCCACCATCCACTCCTTGGAAACCCTATAGGGTTGCTGTGAGTCGGAACTGACTCGATGGCAATGAGTTTGGTGTTTTTAATTAGTGATTAGCTGATGGACCACATGAATCACAGCCTACATGACCCCGAGACCAGAACAACTACCTGGTGCATGGCTACCGCTACTGACTGCTATGACCAGCATCACAATAGAGGGTCCTGGGCAGAGTGGGAGAAAAATGTAGAACAAAAATCAAATCCATAAAAAGACCAGACTTACTGGTCTTACAGAGACTGGAGGAACCCCTGAGACTATGGCCCTAAGACACCCTTCTAACCTGGAACTGAAGCCATTCCTGGAGACCAACTTTCAGCAAAGCAATAGGGAGGCCTACAAAATAAACAGTAACACCTGAGAGGAACAAGCACCTTGGAACATTTAATAGAGACCAAAAGGGCAAAATCTGCCCAAAAGTGAAGACGAGAAGGCAGGAATAGGTAGGAAGACCAGACGAAAGGTAACAGGGAACCCAGGGCAGAAATAGGAAGAGAGCTGATACATTGAGGGGACTGTGACCAATGTCTTAGAACACTCTGTGTACAGATTGTTGAATGGAAAACTATTTTGCTCTGTAAACCTTTACCTAAAGCACAATAAAATATTAAAAAAAAAAAAAAAATACAAAGCCCACAAGACCAGGGTCTAGCCCCAGGGAAGAGATTGGACAAATGTGACTAGATCCCTTTAGATTCCGTTAGAAGGGGAGGTCACAACCCTATGCTGAATGTTCAAGGTGCTTAATTCCTCCAAGTATAGCAGACTATTTTGAAATCCCACTTATTATTGGAGAAGGAAGTCCTTCTTAGGAGTCCTGAGATAGAAAGACAGGCACTATTACAGAAAAAATTACAGAAACTTAATGTGCTTTAGGAAGGTGTAATTTCTTACCCAGTTTCAAATTCCCTTTAAGAATTGAAGAAGAAATGCTTAGTTCATCTCAGTTTTCAAACTAGATTTGGATGTTTGAGTCTCCAGTGATAATAAGCTTGATAATGGCTGTATATAAAGATGAGAGAGAGCAGATTTTTATTTCTGCATATTCATCTGCAGGGCCGGGCCCTTACTGCCCCCCAAAGTGCAAAATTTGGGAAAAGTAAATTACTGGGGTAAGAAGCTATGTGAGGATAAGAATAAAGAGGAATGGCCAGTAAACACAAAGACATTTAAAAAATTGCCTCTCCAACGTACAAAAACTCAAACATATAGAAAAGTTGAATGAACTGTATAAGGGAAAGCCCTATACCTACCACTTAGATTCAATAACTGCTAACATTTAGTAATCCATCTGTGTTATTTAACTGTCAGTCTTTGTATTTGTCTGTCATCTATCTGTCTGTCTTTTTGTTGAACCATTTGAAAGTAAATTGCTGGCATCATACTTCAGCCCTAAATAACAGTATGCATTGCCTAACAATAAGGATACATCTCCGGAACCCTCATAAAATAAACAATAATTCCTTAATAATATCTAATGTACAGATCATATTCAAATTTTCCTACTTGTTTATTAAAAATTTCTTTTATAGCTTTTTTTTTTTTTTAGCTCTGATCGTATCAGACTTTTTGTGTTGCATTTGGTTGTTATATCTCTTTAGTTTCTTTTAATCTAGAACAGTTTTATGGTGACATTACCTTTTTTAAGAGAACAGGCCAGGTGCCTTATAGAATGTCTCACATTTTATATTTCTCTGGTTGTTGCCTCATAGTGTTGTTTAACTTGTTCCTCTATTCCCTGTCCCTTAACCTGGAAGTTAGATCTCTATGCCTGATCTGAGTCAGGTCAAACATTTCTGGCAAGAGTACTTTTTAGGTTATGCTGTATATATATCGAGGCATCTGATGTCATGTTGACACCATTATTACTGATGGTGAGTTAGATCGCTTGGATGAGTGACAACCACATCTCTCCACTGTAACACTTTGCTTTCCCCTTTGCAATAGCGTGCAAAGCTGTGGAGTGATGTTTCAGCATCATGCAAATAGCCAGCTTTCACCTTGTGGTTTTAATATCAACTGATGACTCTTTCTGAATGAGTTATTTCATTGGAGTTGCAAATTGTGATTTTTCTAATTCTGACAGTTCTTCCACATTTATTAGCTGGCGTCTTCTATAAAGAAGAGCTGTCCCTCAGCACCTGGAGATGAGCTACAGTTTCTCCTAAAAAAGGCAGGGTAAATGCTTAAATGTTTCCCGTTGTTACGAGTTTTAAAGAGTTGATGTAATGTAACAAAAGCTTTTTCAATGAAGTTCCTCTAGCTATGAGTGGTCTCATATTAGGAACACGCAAACTTACCTTTGAATGCTTTGTAAGTGGTAATAATTATCCTGTAAAATAATTGAAAAAATACCTCCCAAGTTGTTTAACTGTAGTTCTTTCACCTCCAGGGAAGGGCGTACTTAAACTGATTAATTCCTATAATCAAGTCGTCCTTTGATGGTTTAACATAAGTAGAAACTTTAATTTAAAACTTCTTCTGAAAATAAATATCAGTATTGTGAAGAATGTAGAGTTCTATCAAATGATGCAAATGTACCTTTCTACCGTTTTTTTCCTTTTGTTTTCTTTCCTCTACATTTTTGTAAGTATTTGATATACATAGAAGCAGTCTGGATGATGGATCATTGATTCATGATAATAGAGTTGTTAGATATTCAAAGGTAAGCAGCTAGATAGGAAAATTTCCCCAAAATCACAGAAGACAAATGAAATCACCACAGGGCAACCTAAGTACAATTAGCGTATACTGCTTGAGGACAACGACCGTGGTTTTTAACTTTTATATTTTTGCCAGTGGCACAGACTATCATGTCATGTGTGCTTAAGTAAGAATTTGTTTGCTGATTGCAGTTTAAAAAGTGCGCTAGTTGGGCAATTCCTCAAAAAGTTAAACATAGAATTATCATATGACCCAGCAATTCCACTCCTAGGTATATACCCAAAAGACTTGAAAGCAGGGACTCAAACAGATCCTTGTGCACCAATGTTCATAGCCACATTAGTCACAATAGCCAAAAGGTGGAAACAACCCAAGTGTCCATCAACAGATGAATGAATAAACAAAATGTGGTAATACATATAATAGAATATTATTCAGCCCTAAAAAGGAATGAAATTCTGATATATACAACAGGGATGAATCTTGAAAACATTATGTTAAGTGAAAGATGGCAGACACAAAGGGGCAACTATTATATGATCCACTTGTATGAGTTACCTAGAATAGGCAAATTCATAGATAGAGAATGTAGGTTAGAGATTATGGAGAGGGGGGAGTAGGGAGTTGCTGCTTAATGGTTACAAGGTTTCTGTTTGGAGTGATGAAAGGGTTTTGGAAATAGTGGTGATGGTTATACAACATTGTGATTGTAATTAATGCTACTGACTTGTACACTTAAAATGGTTAAAATAGCAAATTTTATATTAGATATATTTTACCACAATTTTTTTTAAAAGTACAGTAGCCCATGAATATTTAAATTTGTATCTGGTCCTCCATTATTCTCAACATACTCCCCCCCCCCCGCAACACACACACACACACACACACTTAAAAGTAGTATAAATGAACACAGTCTTGTATAACTATCTGGTTTACTCTGAAAAAGTAGATAAATTACAAAATAGCATGGTGAATGTATATGAGTGGATGTGTGTATATGGCCTCACACTCTTCTCAGTTATACCAAGAAGAGCTTATATTGAGTGTGTAGCTTAACTACATAGTTCAAGATGACAAGTCAATACACTTACTTTGTGTAAAACCACCATCAAATCCTGGCTATTTCTTTGTAAAAGTATAAATGATAATAATTTTTACTAATTTTTTACTGATTTTTACTAATTTTTTTACTGATTTTATATAGCAATGAAATTGAAAATATCAAATTGAAATTCAAAATATCAATTGAAATGAATGTAGAACTGAGTTTATAAACTAGTTGAGGTCTTCATGCAATCCTTGTAAATTTAAGGTTTAGGTAAGGAAGAAAAAATCTGCAACTGAAATTTTAAGCAAATGTGTTTAGTTTGAGATGACTTTATTATAGAAATTTATAAAATACGTTCTTGTTTTTCTTTATTGTACTTAGATGAAGGTTTACAGAACAAACTAGCTTCTCATTAAACAATTAGTACACATATTGTTTTGTGACATTGGTTGCCAACCCCACGACATGTCACCACTCTCCCCTTCTTAACCTTGGGTTATCTGTTACCAGCTTTCCTGGCCCCTCCTGCCTTCTCATCCTTGCCCCTAAGCTGGTGTGCCCATTTAATCTCGTTTTGTTTTACGAGTCTGTCTATTTTTGGCTGAAGGGTGAACCTCAGGACTGACTTCATCACTGAGCTAAAAAAGGGGTCTGGAGACCATACTCTCAGGGTTTCTCCTGTCTCTGTCAGACCAGTAAGTCTGGTCTTTTTTTTTTTTTTTTTTTGTGAGTTAGAATTTTGTTCTACATTTATCTCCAGCTCTGTCCGGGACCTTCTATTGTGATCCCTGTCAGAGCAGTGGGTGGTGGTAGCCGGGCACCATCTAGTTGTGTTGGACTCAGTCTGGTGGAGGCTGTAGTACTTGTATCAAATACATTCTTATTTTGAATTCAGATACACCAAACAGAAAGGGGGAAAAAATCTGAGTATATGCTGTAGTTAACAGAATTGAAACATATCTTCTGGGAAGAAAATTCAATTTACTTTTTAATGCCATTTAAAAATTATTTTTGTCATTTATATTTTTTGTTACTTTTAAACTGCTTTGAAGCCTAAAAACTATCTTAAATATTTATTCATAGAATTTGCTAAATATAATTTCTATATTATTATAGTATCATAAGGCAAATTAGATATGTGGGTAATTTAATTTTTCTTCTGTTTACTTATAGCAAATACAGATGAAGTTCAGATCCCCCAAGGAAATATTGATCAAGTTGCTGTTGTGGCCACTAATATTTTATTTTTTGTGGTTCTATTTATCTTTGCGCTTTTTGAAACGTAAGTTTTATTCTGTCTTTATCTAAATCAGATTATGTATTACCTGTATTTCTTAATGCAGTATTATTCAGGCATGTAGATGTTATTGAAAACCTTATGCAAGTCATATTTTTCTGGTCATGATGTAAAAAGCGTATATAAATTTTGTGGTTTTTAACTTGAATATAGTTAATTCTGTAGACATAATCTTAGTGTCTTATCCTCATAAAGGAATCTGTTTCACTAGTCTTTTCCCCTTTTATCTGAGTTTTATGATAAATACAATTTTAAACTTTAATTGGTGCCATAATTTAATTATCTATAAGCTATATAACTCCCTGCCACATAAAGAGAGACATTCAGAGGTAGGGAGAACAATATACATATTCAAAGTAGGGATGGAAAAGACTGAGGAAGAGAAAAAAATAGTCTAGTAATGTAACTATAGTAACATTATTTCATTGAAAAGAATCTAATATAAACCAAAATATAACCATAATTAGTTATGTAGAATGGTAAGAGTTATGATTGATTTGTTTTCTTTTTCTATTTTTACACCTTCTGCAATGTGACTATATAATTAAATATGAAAAATAGAAACACAAATAGGCAACTTTAGTAGCTTGTATCTGTAACAACAAGGAGCCCCGGTGGCAGTGGTTAAAGCAATAGGCTGAACCCACCCACCACTCAGCGGGAGAAAGATGTGGCAGTCTGCTTCTATAAAGATTATAGCCTTGGAAATCCTATGGGGCAGTTCTGCTGTGTCCTATGGGGTTGCTTTGAGTTGGGATTAACTTGCCGGCAACGAGTATATGTAACAACAAAATGTGCTTAAAATGTGTTCCAATTTTGCTTATATAGGTCTGGTGTCATTGTTAAAAGGGATGCAAATGCTTGAATGTGTAGGTATCATAATTAAAGCTTATATTTCAACTTTAAGTAGCAGTGACTGATCCAAATAAAAATAAGTATAGCATTATTTCTTTTTTGTTTTCCTTAGCATCGTTACTCCATTAACAATGGATATGTATGCCTGGACTAGAGAACAAGCTGTTTTATATGGTGGAATAATACTTGCAGCTCTTGGAATTGAGGCAGTTCTTATTTTCATGGGGGTTAAATTACTTTCCAAAAAGTGAGTCATGTATTTTTGGTTTCCTTTCAAGTCCATTTTTTTAAAAGTGAAATATAAACAGAGTTAAGAATGTAAATGAGTGTGCTAGTAAAATAATTTAAAAAACTTTTTTGTCATTATATATTAGTTGTAGTCCTTGAAAGTTTGCACATAGATTTAAAATGTATTAAGGGAGCATGATATTTAAAGATATTCTACTGTGTATTCTTTGGTAAAGCAAAAATATCTTACAAACAAAATAATTGTCTCCTAATGTATCTTTTGGAGCTCAGGCTGCAAACCAAAAGGGAAAAGATCAGCAGTTGGAATCCACCAGATGCTCCTTGGAAACCCTATGGGGCAGTTCTACTCTGTCCTATAGAGTTGCTATGAGTCGGAATCGACTCGATAGCAATGGATTTGATTTGGTTTTTTTTGTAATGTAGCTTTTATATATTATGTTTTTCTGAATGTATTTTTAAAAATGTATTTCACAAAACATTTTTCTGCTATATGGTAACAGATGTTAAACAACAAAAAGATTCAGTGGTTAATTCGGTTTAGAAATTCTGGTTAAAATGACTGAACTTATTGCTCTAGAACTTTCAAGTCTTCAGTATACATACTATATCACCATCATGGCAAATATAGTGTCTACCATTTCTCATAGTTATTTGACTACAGAACACTTTTTAAAGAAACATTTTATAAAAGTACAACCATAAGGAACACACTTTGGGGGAAATGCTTGTATAAACAGGTTCAATCATATAGTTTGGAGCCCACCTATCATATAGTTTGGGACATTAGTTGATAAATTTAGACAGTCCCTGTGAGATTTAATTATTGTTAAAATATTTTAATAAAATTTTATAAATCAATCAACAAATATTGAGATAATGTATATGGTTAAGTGCTATAAGGGATACTACAAAGATTCCTGCTCTTATGACAAGTAGAAGATACAAATATAGATATAAATATTCAAAGTTAAGTAATAGTAAATACATCTTGCTACATAAGTAATTATCAGATACCTGCTGATACACATTCTCACAGAATGTCTAATTCCTTACCTTCAAAGAGATTATATTCTAGTGGGGCGGGGGGAAGCCAATTAAAAAAAATCCAAATGTGATATGCTATAAAGGTTAGAGCAGAGGAAGAGAACAGAGTGACAAGCCTAGGGTGCGTGGGGTGGGGAAGTGTTATGTTAGATAGACTGGTCCAGGAAAGAATGTCTGAGGAAGTTACATTTAAGCAGAGAACTCAATGACGTCAGAGAACAGCCAGGCAATGGCCTGGAACTCTGCCCCCTCCCCTGATGGAGGGTATTGCAGAGTCCTTTGAGACTGAGCTTTTGTACTTAAGGAACAAGCAGGAAGGCCCTTTTGGCTGGAGTGGAATGAGAATGGTAGATCAGGCTGGAAAAATGTAGAGCCTTGTAGGTATTCTGATGGTGATGAGAAGCCTTTGGTTTTGCTTTACTTTTTATTAAGGAAAATTCCCAACATATACAGAGGTATAGAGAGCACCATATACTGAGCTTCTGATATCCATTACCCAGCTTCAGCAATTATAAACCGTTAGAAAATTTTGCTTCATCTATACCTCCATCTACTCCACATTCACTTTCCCCTGCACCTGGATTATTTTGAAGCCGATCCAGATATTTCATATTTTCCATAAATATTTCAGTTTGTATCTCTAAAAGGTAATGATGACAACATTATCACACCTAAAAAATTTAACAGTGATTTCTTAATATCATCAAATATCCAGGCAGTGTTCACATTTTCCCCACTGTCTCAATTCTGTTTGTTTGTTTGTTTTATATTGTTTCACAGTTTGCTTGCTTAATTCAGGATCTTAAGTTTCTTAAGACCCTTTTAATCTATAGCTTTCTCTCCTCTCTCTCCTTACAAATTGAAGAAACTAAGATGGAATGTTAGTCATCCTACATTTTCCTGTTTCCCACATTTTGAATCTTGATGGTGTATCACTGTGGTGTTTTAAAAAACATTTTCCTCTGTTCACTATATTTCTTGAAAATTGGTACTTAGATCTAAAAGCTTGATGAGATTTGGGTTCGATTTTCTTTTTTTAATTTTTTGAGCAAGAATATGGTGCTATATGGTTACATAGGAGAAATACATTTTGCTTACCTCTTTTTATGATATAAGTGGCTATTGATCATTCCCTAGATCCATTAATTCATTATAGAGTGCAAAATGCTAGTATTCTCATTCTATCATTCCTTTATTTGCTGGACTACTTTCTGTAACGAAAACCTTCCCCTCACCAAGTATTTCGTTATCCTATGTGCATAGGAAAAGCAGGATAAATTAAAATGCTGGATTATTTCCTTTTACCAGCTGGTTTTTAAAATCACAAGTTGGTTCCCTGGTATCTTCTGAAAGTGACCAGTGAGCATTTTATTTTACTATAGTATGAATTCATAGATTATAACATTTTCATGTGTTTCGATCTATTGCAGTTATTCTTTTTCAGTGTCACATTGCTGCATTTTGGCCAGTCTTTTCAAATTGGCTTGAGTCCTTTTGTCATGACCTAGTAGTCACTGATAGCTTCTTTGGTCTCTGATATGACAAGATGTCCAGGTTCATCTTATACATTTTCTGTCCCACACCTGAAAATTAGTCATTTTTCAGAGTATTTCTGGTTCTTTGTAGTGGGAAACTATATTTAGCACTCATATTAATTGATTTGTTACCAAAAATATCAAGATCGTATTTATAGTTTTTTTAATTATAAAATCTAACTATAGACTATGCTGTAATATTTCATTTTTCAGTTACAGTTTCTGTTCTTTAACAGGATTGGCGAGCGTGCTGTTCTGCTGGGAGGACTCACCATTGTATGGGTTGGCTTCTTTATCTTGTTGCCCTGGGGAAATCAGTTTCCCAAAATACAGTGGGAAGGTATAGCCATATATAATTCTATAATGTAAGCCCCTGTTATCCGTCTAAAATCAACAAGTAATGTACTCTACTAATTTTGTTTTTGCAGATTTACATAATAATTCAATCCCTAGTGCTACATTTGGGGAAATTATTATTAATTTCTGGAAGTCTTCAAGAGAAGATCACTATGAAGAACCAACTGGCTGCCCAGTTGAACAAGCCTGGTGCCTCTACACCCCTGTGATCCATCTGGCCCAGTTCCTCACATCAGCTCTCCTAGTTGGAATAGGTTATCCAGCCTGCAATGTTATGTCCTATACATTATATTCAAAAATTCTGGGACCAAAACCTCAGGTGAGTCAATTACCCTGACATTGCAATTATGTGAAATATGTTTGTAAGAACTCACATGTTTTGCCAGCATTTTCTATTTTTAAACAAGTTAACATACAGATTTTTATTATATTTAGCATTTTAAATTTTTAAAAATCCACAGCTTTTATAAAGCATTTACAGGACTTATATGCTGAAATTTAACAAACAGTACTGTAAGGTAGAGCTCAAAGATGTCTTGAACTCAGAGATTATCAGTTGAAAATAATTTTCTCAGAAAAATATCAGAAACATAAATTTCTGAAACTCACTCTTTATGGAACCAAAATTGATAGCCACATTTGTATTTCATCAGACCCGAGGGGCAATTACCAAGAGAGGAAAACACAACAATCTTAAAAGCTTATAGCAGTATGTATATTTTAAAATAATTATTATAAAAATTTTATATTCATTATATAAAAATTAGAAAAAATATAGAAGCAAAATGAAGAAAAATATCACACAGACTTCTACTAACATTATTTTTCCAATTCCAGTTTTATCTATTCCTATCTGACTAGGTGTGTGTTTTTAACACAAAAATAGGATTACATCATGGATACTATTTTATGTTGTGAATATTTTCCCATGACATTTAACTTTATTTTAGAGAATTATTTTTAATGGAGACATTGTATTTTATTTTACATACGCACTATCATTTATTCAGTCATTCTCCTATTTAACGAACATTTAGGTTATTTCCAGATTTTGCTTCTCTTTTTTTAGTAGCAGTTACTTAAACGTCCACAAAATGAAAATATTACCTTCCTCTTTAAAAATTAAACTGTTACCTGGGAATATATCCTAGAAAAATAGAGCTGTCACACAGATAGACATGTGCACACCCACGTTCATTGCAGCCTTATTCCCAGCAGCAAAAAGATGGAAACAACCTAAGTGCCCATTAACAGATGAATGGATACACAAATTTTGGTACATGCACACACTGAAATGCTATGCAACAATAAAGAACAATGATGAATCTGCAAAACATCTCACAACATGGATAAATCTGGAGGTCATTATGCTGAGTGAAAAAAGTCAATCACAAAAGGACAAATACTGTATGAGACCACTATTATAAAAACCCAAGAAAAGGTTTATACACAGAAAAAAACCATCTTTGATGGTTATGAAGGAGGGATGTGGAGGGGAAGAGAAATCACTAACTAGATAGTAGACAAGTGTTAACTTTGGTGGAAGGGAAAGACAACACACAATATAGGGGAAGTCAGCACAACCTGACCAAGGCAAAGCCACAGAAGCTTCCTAGACACATCCAGACACCTTGAGGGACCGAGCTACTGGGGCCAAGGGCTAGGGACCTGGTCTCGGGAGACATTTACGTCAATTGGCATAACATAGTTCATAAAGAAAATGCTCTACATTCTACTTTGGTGAGTAGTGTCTGGGGTCTTAAAAGCTTACAAGTGACCATCTAAGATACATCTATTGGTCCCATCCTGTCCAGAGCAAAGAAGAATGAAGAAAACCAAAGACACAGGGAAGTATTAATCCAAAGTACTAATGGACCACATGAACCACAGCCTCCACCAGCCTGAGCCCATAAGAGCTAGATGGTGCCTGGCTACCACCACCAACTGCTCTGACAGGGATCACAATAGAGGGTCCTGGACAGAGCAGGAGAAAAATGTAGAACAAAATTCAAATTCACAAAAAAGACCAGACTTACTGGTCTGACAGAGACTGGATGAACACCCGAGACTATGGCCCCCAGACACCCTGCTATCTCAGAACTGATGCCCCTCCTTAAATCTACCTTTCAGCCAAAGATTAGACAGGCCTATAAACAAACAATAAGACACATGAGAAACGTGCTTCTTATTAGTTCAGTCAAGTATATGAGACCAAATGGGCAACACTTGCACAAAAGCAAAGATGAGAAGGCAGGAAAGGACAGGAAAACTTGACGAATGGTTACAGGGAACCTGGGGTGTAAAGGGAAAGGGGGGGAATGCTGACACATTGCAGGGATTGCAATGAATGTCACAAAAAAATTTGTGTATAAATTTTTTAATGAGAAAATAATCTGCACTGTAAACTTTCACCTAAAGCATAATAAAATAAAATATAATAATTAAACTGATAGTCTTATTTTTTAGGACAGGAATTAGTGTTTATTAAAATAAGGCAAAGAAAAAAATTTTTTTTATTGTGTTTTGAAACTATAAATAATGGATAAAACATTTTGGAAATTATTTTGGGCTTGTTTTTAATCTAAAAGATTGTATTTTCAGTTATTCCAAATTAAGAATAAAAGCATATCAATTACAAGAGCAATACGTGATGGTTGTAACAAAATTTAAATAGTTTAGAAACATTTGTAGCACAAAATGAAGGCTCCTCCTAGCTTCACCACACCAAAATCAACCACTGTTAACTTCTTTTGTACCCTTCAAGACATTTTCCTATGCCTAATCAGAGATGGAGCCCTGGTGGCACAGTGGTTAGGAGCTCAGCTGCTAACCAAAAGGTCGGCAGTTGGAATCCGCCAGCCACTCCTTTGACACCCTATGGGGTAGTTCTACTCTGTCCTATAGGTTTGCTATGAGTCGGAATCAACTCGATGGCAGCGGGTTTGGTTTGGTTTTATTCAAAGAGATACTCATTCACTTTAAAATAGTCTAAGTAAGGAACTTTGGCTGAGTGAAATACAGAGAAAGTGATTCTTGTGAATTTGTCATAGTTTGGTAATAGCAGCATTGTCTTTGTTTAGTAAATAACCCTGAATATCAATCTGCCTGTCCCCCATTCTTCCCCGCACAGGGTGTGTACATGGGCTGGTTAACAGCTTCTGGAAGCGGAGCTCGGATTCTCGGACCTGTGTTCATCAGCCAAGTGTATACCTACTGGGGACCACGATGGGCATTCAGCCTTGTGTGTGGGATAGTGATACTCACCATCACTCTCCTGGGAGCAGTTTACAAAAGACTCATTGCTTTTTCTGTAAGACATGGGAGGATTCAAGAGTCAGCTAGCTAAGACTGCAATGGAAAGTACTTGTTGCTTGGAACTTCCTAGTCTAAGGCTCTGCTAGAAAATTGCTATGAGCCAGTCTCCAAAAGCCAGGCTATGGATATTGAATATTTTGAATAACAAGAACAGGTATTGAATAACAGGGAATCTTACGATTCTACATGTAATTGTGAAGAGTAAGATAATATGAAAACATTCTGTATCATAATTTCCTTATCCCAAAAATGAAATACTCCTCTTATAACATCTTTTTGGAGTTACATGAACAATTGTTTGTAATTGTGAAGTTGTACTCTTAAAACAAGAAGCTTTGGTGGCGCCGTTGATTAAACACTTGGCTGCTAATTGAAAGGTCAGTAGTTCGAACCTACCAGCCGCTCCGCAGGAGAAACCTGTGGCAGTCTGCTTCCATAAAGATTACAGCCTCGGAAACCCCATGGGGCAGTTCTACCCAGTCCTATACGGTTGCTGTAAGTCAGAATCGACTGGAAGGCAATGGGTTTTTGTTTTTATTTTTGTTTTTTTAACTCTTAATACAAACTGCAGAGGGGCTATAACGTCATTCGAGACTACTGATGCGGCGAAACCACGGGAGAGCTCTGTGGGAGCTGGCAATGAGAGAACGCAGGTATAGAAAGTTTCACCTCAATAGAAGTCTTTTTATTCAAGGATATCTACTTACTATTTATGGAATTACTTTTTTTTATTATTATTAGGTTTCCTAATGAAGTAAAAACTGTGACCCTTAAATTTTCCATTTACCATGCCTGCCATCCTACCATCTCCTTCTTTACGTTCCTATTCTAATCCTGTACCCTCTATCTTATTTTAGTCCAGGATCTTCCTAAGTAACCACTAAGACAATATGAGTAAGAATAATGCTAATATTGAGCAATATAAGAGGAAAAACAAATCAACATGGATTTCACTACCTTTAGTAGGGTTAACTACTTTTCTGTTTCAAGTGCTAACAAAGAATTCACTTTGGAAACATATGCCAGATATGTTACATGCATATACTGAATAGCCAATGATTTATTAAAATTATTGGCATTTTTCAACTCCATTAAATCCTGGAGAAAAACTATTTAATTAAATACTTTTCCCCTCTATCAGTAGTGGCAGGGAGGAGAAAACATAGTTTTCAATCTATTTTCTGTATATCTATTAAAAGCTATAGGATTTTAGCTGGATTTTAAATTTAGATGAGACATGACCTGTCCAGTCTGGTTAGGCTAATAATTATTTGAGGCAAAATGGCTTTAATATAACAGTTTACTGAGTTTACCTGAAGTTGGCTAAATCACACTACCTATGTATACATTTCTACCTCTACGTAAGTTGAATGCTGATAAAATGAACTGGTGTGGAGCTATGTATACTGATAATCAATATTATCAAAAATACAAAAATATTTCTAAATATTTTTCCAAATGTTTCCTACTCTATTACAGATATTTTCAAATCTTAGAGTAAATATTTCAATCTTTGTACTTAGTTAGCTGTGCTCTTAAACCCATTTCCTTCAGCTCTAATAGAAAATTTAATCTGACAGAAATCATCCTGTAATTAAATGTTGGAGATTTTTTTTTTTTCACTCTTCTCTGTCTCTCATAGTAAGACTTGGCTTCAGTTAGATTTATCAGAACCATAGCCAGGTTTCTGTCTGTTTGGTCAAATCCTGGGATCCCTGTTACCTGGTGTTTTCTGGCTTCTTCCTCTGTCATGTTCTTTAGTACTACTAATCCTAAAAAGTAAACCCACCCCACCCTCAGTTGGTATAGTGTATATAACAGTAATAACAACAATAATGGTAATGATGAAAATGATTGTCATGGATTGAATTGTGTCCCACAAAAAAACGTGTGTATCAATTTAGCTAGGCCATGATTCCCAGTGTTGTATGATTGTCCTCTATTTTGTGATTGTAATTTTACATTAAAGAGGATTAGGGTGGGATTATAACACCACCCTTACCCAGGTCCAATCCCTGATCCAATGTAAAGGGAGTTTCCTTGGCGTGTGGCCTGCACCACCTTTTATCTCTTAAGAGATAAAAGGAAAAGGAAGCAAGCAGAGAGATGGGGGACCTCATACCACCAAGAAAGCAGCACCAGGAACAAAGCACGTCATTTGGACTCGGGATCCCTACGCCTGAGAAGCTCCTCGACCAGGGGAAGTTTGATGAGAAGGATCTTCCTCCAGAGCCAACAGAGGGAGAAAGCCTTCCCAGGGAGCTGATGCCCTGTGGACTTGTAACCTACTAGACTGTGAGAGAATAAATTTCTCTCTGTTAAAACCATCCACTTGTGGTATTTCAGTTAGAGCAGCACTAGATGACTGAGACAATGATAATAGCAAATATTTATAGAATTCATTCTATATTCCAGGGAGTATATAATGTGTAGTTAATTCTCACAGCAGCCTTATAGGGTGAAGGTGTTATTATGAGATTCCCGTTTTACACATGAAGAAATGGAGGCACAGAGAAGTTAAGGAACTTGTCTAGGTAACAGTTTACCTTAAGAGTCTACACTCTTAACCGTGATATTTTTCACAGTGGGGAAAATAGCCCAGAAAGTTGTAGTAGCAGTTAAGTAAATGAAAACTTACGTTACCTCTATCATTGACTCCTATTAGCAGAAATATTTGAGAAACATAATTTCAAGCTTACTAACTGGGGCTTTTATGTTAGCATAATACTTAGCCTGTTTCCAGGCAAGAATATGACATAAAGAAGTTTCTCAACTTAAGATGTATAATATTGAAGAAAATTCAGATAAAGTATAACCTTGCCAAAATAATTACCACTTTCCTTCCTATAGACAGCACTTTCTTTGGAAAAGTACCACAGAGATTATACCAGTGCACATCTTGGCACAAAAGAAGACAAATAAGGAAGTGACATGGGTTTAGGGAGAGGACAGGGAGGTAAAGTTTGAGAAAAAAATTACCCAGTTGAGGGCTTCAGTGGGACAGGTTGAGTATAAATCAAAAAAGATGATAAGAGACGTTAAAGATATGAGAAACTGATAAAATAGTATGTCTTTATTTAAGAAAAGATGATTTTGAAAACCTGAACTTGACAACGGTGATTTTCATGCTTTGAAGGGATTTATAACTTCACAAAAGCATCTCTATACTTCCCGTGCAAACCTTAGCTACATTTAAAATAAAGTCCTCCAGTTCATGTAAAAATTTTCTCTTAAATGAAGTAAGATAAATCTGTTTGTAGTTTTTTGTTTTGAAGGGGAAAAAACTGCTTATCTGTATCTGTTCAAGAATAGATTAATTTATTTTGAGAAGAAATTTTGGGTACCATTTTAAATTATTGTAAACTTATTTGAAAATGTTTTATATTGTGAATGTACATTTAATAATAAGATTATTATGCATATGTACCTTAAGACTTAAAATTTTATTCATTCATACTTTCAACACATATTTAAGGGGCACCCACTATGTGCCAATCACTATGTAATTTGGGGGGACAGAACAATTAACAAAAATAAAAATATTGCTGGCAGAGCTCAGGCAATAAGATATTTAAAAAATAATTTCAGAGCGAAGACTGAATTAGAAGTAACACGAGTGAATAAGACAAGGGAAATAAAGGATGTAGGCAAATTAAAATAAACAGAAATGAAGAGATAAAAATGATTCTGGAAAAAGTGACATAGAAACTAGGCAAGGATGATCAAACATACATATAATAGGAGTCCTTGAAGAAGAAAATCAAAACAATGGAAACAACAAATTCTAAAAACTATAAAACTAGAAAAATTAACTAAAATAGAAGACTTGAGTCTACTTATGGAAAGGGCACACCATGTACTAGGAAAAATTAACCCAGAATGGTCTATACTGACACATATTCTAGTAAAAAATAGCAAATTAAAATATAACTTTGGATATCCAGGCAAAATGATTAAGTCACTTATAACGAAAAAATCCAATTACAATCAGATTTTTTGATGACTTCATATCAGAAGTCACTGTAATAACATATTTAAGATATTCAAAGAAAGGCATTGTGACCCAAGTATTTTATATCCAGCCAAGGTGACCTTCAAGTATAAAATCCAAAGACAAACTTACAATGAAATAAGGAATATTGTTTCCATGAGCCCTGACTAGCAATCCACTAGTGAACAAGTTTCAAACAACCAAAATGATAAAAGAAGCTTCAGCATAAGGACTGGTAGTAAACACATATCACCTATGGAAGTAAGGAACTATGGAAATAGGGTGACAGAATTAATACATAATGGTTATAAAACAGAGGTCTCCAGGCTGTAGAAAATTCCACTGCCTCAAACAGCTTGCTTGATACGCCCCGTTGCTTTACGTTAACATTCTGGTTCCCCTTTCCTTAACTGCTGCCCAGAACTAGATGAAACCAGTTTAGGCACCATATTCACATCCTGGGTAATCTTTTAGCGCATTAAGTGCCTCATGCATAGCAACTTCCCAGACTTTTGGGTGGAGATGGACTGCCATTTTTAAACGTGCAATGTATGAGCTATGTTACCCTTACTGCACCTGCGCAGCATGATTAAGACTGTTGCTGATGTAACTTACATGATCTCCTCGCTTATAAGCCCTATAAAAGAGACCTCCCTAAACCCTATCCTCGAGCAGTCTTGGAGGCACCAGCCCCAACTGTTCCTTTCCTTGTGCGATGAAATAAAGCTTCCTTTCTATCTCCCATCTCGATCTCTTGTTTATTGGCTGTGAGGAGTCTTGCTGAGCAGAACCTGGGGTACCGGGTAACAAATTCTGCTGAGCCAGCCAGGAGTCATCCGCTCAGTTCCAAAGGCAGACTGGACAACAGACCAGCCCCGATGTCTGCCGCCACCAGGAGATTTCTCCCAGAGAATGTGAGGCAATCCTGCAGGCCAACCCGCCTTGGACCCAATGGTGACTCAGTAGCAGATGTGAAAAGCACTTGAGGTGTTCCCCGCGAAAGAGGATCATACATCCTCAGTGAGTAACAATCTTAATCCTATGTAAAGCCTTAGAAGAGTTCCAAGAAGTGGAAGGAATTGGCCACTGAGGACATAAAAGGTCTTAGATGTTTGTTACTTGTTTGTGTGGTCATCGGCATTGGGAGGTATGGGTAACACACAAAGGATCCAGAATGTAGTCCCTTAGGGTGCATTCTAAAGAACTGGTCTTACTTTGGGTCGACCCTATGAAAAAGAAGAAAACG